ATTATTCTTACACAATCAGTTCTTGTTTAGTAAATCAGTCTCAAAACAAGATGAAAAAGACTTTTTTGGCTGATATAAGGTTTTAAAACTTGTTTAAATGGACAGTTTTTGCTGTAGAAGCTGGGATGAAGCAGCAGAAGCTTGTAGCAGGTCATGTGTTTGTTGTCAGAGGTCAACAGTAAACTGTCTTCCTGTYCTCCGGTGCTCAGGTCAGTGATGCCACCAAACTCAGACCAAAGGCGGAGTTCTGCTTCGGTAAGTTTTTATTCTTCCTGCCTCTCTCCTAGCTGCAGTGTAACCCCAACAATAAACCTTTTGTTTTATGTAATCATAGTTTTGGCTGTTTTCTCCTTGATTTGATCTTAACCTGACCGTGTCAGATCTCAGGGACCCCCCCTCCCCCATCCCCCACTTCTTATTTCCACTTCCTCCCTCCTTTCTCCTTCCCTCCCTGGTTTCCTCGTCTGTAGAGTTGATTTCCTCCCTTTTGTCCCGTGCTACTTGTTTTTCCTCTGTGGAGCGGCAGCTCTTTGTCACTCAATCGAAGGAAACTGTACGACGACAATGACCCGCTCTGTGTGTGTTTGTGTGTGTGTGTGTGCGTCTAGATGGGATGTTAATATTGAGACACACATCCTCTTACCTCTGAGAAACTAGAAACAAGTTGTTATTTTTAGACTCGTGTCGCTGTTTGTCTCTCTGCAGTTATAAACGCAGGAATGAGGAAGATTTATCTGCAGGCCAACGACCAGCAGGATTTGGTGGAATGGATCAGCGTTCTGAACAATGCTACCAAGATTACAGTGAGCCTCTCACACACACACACACACACACACACACACACACGCTCTGATGAGTCCATGTTTGACCTGGTTCTCGTGTTGGGTGTTCAGCGCTCGGCCTCGGGCCACAGCAGATGGAACATTACCCATCAGCCCAGAGAGATGAAGCTCAATACTGGATCAGTGGAGTGAGGGAAGCTGCAGTGGTCCGACGTTGGTTCAGACGTGGTGGAACCCTTAAAACTAAGTCCAGGGGTCCTGCAGATCCTTAAAAASGCTTAAAAGGCCTTGAATTCAGCAAAGCAAAACTAAGGCCTTAATTAACCTTAAAATGTCTTAAATCAATCTTTCAGTAGTCGTAAAAATGTGAACACATTGTACGTAGGATGATTGTAATTCATCTGAAATATTAAAATACTTGGTAATATTTATTTTTTTAAAATATTCGCGTGCAGACATTCCCCTTTGACATCACTTCCTGTTATTCCACATGCAAATATCTCAACAACAGCTCATCTGAGCAACGTGACATTCGTTTTATAATATGTTAATGTTGTCTTTCCAAAAATGCATTCACTTTTCTTACAAAAAAATTCACGTTACAGGGACTTTAGGGTTTCGTCTACAGCAAATTGGGGTTAAGACCCCACTGTGGGTCCTAAAACTCCAAATTTTGGGTCGTTAGAGGTTTTCCAGAAATTAAATTAAGTTTAAAGCAGGGGTGCCCAAACGTTTTCCCTGAGAGGGCCAAAATTAAAATCAATTTGAAGGCTGTGGGCTAAATGCAGTAATATAATACGTGAAATGTAAATACTTCTTAAGTAAATTTGTTTTATTTTTATGAATAAGCCAGCAACTAGTGCAGTTGCCCACATTCTTTTTTTAGCACATGGACATGGAGAAAATTCAGCATATGCACGGGCAGCAAAGGCTCATGGGACTTTTCATAATATAAAATTTGCGTATATGCTGTCATATAAGGTGTACAAATCTAGATGTGTGCTTAAATCTAATCTAAATGTCTCTTGTAGTTACTGTATTTTATGTTTATTAACATAATTCAAAGATAAAGTGAGTACCATGAGATAAGTCTGACTTCAGCTCCTTGTACCTATACTTGGACCAATGGTTGAAAAGGCTAAGTGGAAATATAGTGTTTCTACATAAGACAGGAGGTTACAATCTTATAACCAGGACAACTGCTGGTGGGCCAAATCAAATGGCTTGGTGGGCCAAATTTGGCCCGCAGGCCCCACTTTGGGCACCTCTGGTTTAAAGTGTCTGTGGCGTCAAATTTTTGTTGTACGTATGAATGCATTTTTAGAAAGAGGACATTGATAAAAT